TGTCATTAGTAAGATAAAGTTCATTCGCGTTTTTCTGTGAACCAAATGGCAACACGACCCAATCTGCAGATTTTGTCAATGATGGAAAATTGCGATTTATTTTTTTTTCGAATAATAAATATGCGATGTTCAGTTATAAGTTTTTGTAGTTTTGTAATATTGAATTTTCCAACTATTCACCACAAACAATACAAACAGGTAAAGGACAGCCAAAATCGCCATTCTTCGTAAATTTAAACAAATAATTACGTATATCAGCATATTTACGTATAACTTTTTAATTTAAACTTTTATCACTTATTGAAGCTGATTGTTTGATATTAGTTTCAATATTTAAATTGCTGTCATTTGCATTACTATCACTGTCATCCGTTAGTTTACGCTTTTTTTACATATCTATCCATTTTAGATTCTGAGTGGAGCGAAGAAGCTTATGGTTTTACAAAGAAGTTTATATCTTTTTTTTTGTGAACAACTTTTCTACCAGAGAACTTACTCCGATTTTTACGAGCAACCTATTATCTGAAAGGAAATCGGTGTGAGAAGGTACTTTAAAGAGGTCATTTATCGATTTTCTCAAGAGTTTCATCATCAAATGCGAAAAATCGAAAAAACCGGAAAATGTATGAAATATACTTGTATAATATTTTTTTCTGTAGACAACTATCAGCAATTTTGCTCCAACTTTCAATAATAGCAATTTTTCTAAAAGGAAATTTCACTGGGCAAGTACTTTAGAGAGGTTGTTTTTCGTTTTTTTCCGGAGTTTTCTCAAAAAATGTGAAAAACCGAAAAAAAACGCGAAAATCGGTAGATTAAACAAATAAAGATATTAAAAATAATATATAATGCTTTTTTAATTATTTTACCATAATATGACATATATATTGTTGAAAAAGCATTTCTATCAACTGAACTCCGCTCAGAATCGTTTTTTCGTAAGCAATGGTTTATCGTTGTTTACAGATATACATTAAATTGCCTATAACAGCTGCTTCCGTCCCCATTTTCCTAGGTCGTTTTTTTTAAAATTTAAGTACAATATTCCTTAATCAAAATATTATTAACGTACGATTATATTATTTAGCACACATAATAAGGAATAATAGACTAAAATAAATTACACAACACACCTGGAGAATTTCGCGGCACAATTTTGCGTCACGATACAGCGGTTGAGGATCCCTGATTTAGAATTTAGTAAATAAAAATTGAACGTACTTTAAATTGAATTTCATCAAGTGATTTCTGATTACATCGGAAGAAATGTTTTCATTTTTCTATATTTTCATTCAACACTGAGCCGTGTTTATAAATAGACTTTTTTTTTTTGGCTTTATCCTTTTTGTAGACCATATATTCTTGTAGGGCGTAGGTACGGAGTAAATCGCCAATTTTCATAATTTCAACGTCGTTGTTATTTTAATATTTTATATTAATAGTTTGATAATTATATGAAGACATGATTAATGCATATATTAATAATATTCTATTCAATTCAGAATATGATATATCAGGTCTTTGACTAAAACCAATTTCGGTTACCGGTCAACCGTATATTCTCACCCAACATATAAGAGTATATAAAATTATTGCATTGCAAATTAACTATCACATTCAATGTACAAACTATGAATAATGAATAATTCACTTGACAAATTGTTGTGAATAAATTTCCATATCAAAACTTAAAATAAAATTGTGTTAACGAAAAATTATTGACTGTAAAGAATTTATTTAAGTATTTATATATGCTCGATGTATATAAATGCTGTAAAATACCGAAAAAATAAAAGATGGCAGTTAAATTTATAATTGAACAATTAATACAGAACCTCGTGTTAATAAATACTAGTAAATTACTATAAACTAAAATTATTGATAACTAAAACTATTAAATACAATAGCAATTACTTTTGGTAAATTTCACATCGGGTATTGCATTACGTTTAAAAACTGGGTGGGCTAAGACTATCCAAGCTCCCTTAAATTTTCGCTTATGATAATAACTATGTACAATACCCGATTTCAAATTTATTTGTTTTTATTATATTTCTTATATTATAATATATTATCAGGGAATTTTTCTGTGTCCAAATGGACACTCAGTAAAATCCATCGGCTACCTAGCATAGTAAGATTATGCTTATTGTGTGTCCATTAAAAAATAAATGGTAAATTATTACATTAGTAGATTGTGCAATTTCTAATGAAATAATGCAACAGAATACTATATTTTATAAATTAAATCTTTTCACTGGTTGGGTGGGGTAACTGGAGGAAATCTCAAAGTCAAGGGCAAGGTTTTGTTTATCTGTTTGTGGAGCTTTTTAAGAGTGGGGGCCAGTGGGAGTGAACATGCTATGAGTGTTCGCTAAAAAATTCAAGGTTTTCTATTAATATAAAAAATATTAAAAAGCAAGAAACAGTAATTGTATTGGTGTTAAAATATAACGATAAACGTTTATTACCTCGATGCAGATAACCGTGGTGACATTTATTATTGATTAAAATTTCAACGAAATAATAACATATGTGCGTAATAAAACAATTCTGAGTGAAATTGAAATTAGACATTTTAAAGTTTTTGCTTTTACTTATATTAATAGTATAATATAAATGTATCTTTTTTTTTTTTATAGTTTTTCGCTATGTATACAATAAGCCATTCAATTTAAGAAATTCGAAAAGCGACTTTTCTAAAGTACGTATTATAGGTCTGCATCGTTTAATCAGCTTCTTATCCCGGTTTCTGCATTAAACTTTTCTCGAACATATGTGTACCACTCCACAAAAGTGTTTTCTGAGATGCCATAAAAGAAATAAAAATATATATAATATGTACATGTACTCATATATATATTACATCGCTGTAAAACAATAGTTAGATGCAGCTCGAAATCTAAAATTGCACCTGTCCGTTTTTTTTTTCAGTTGGTAATTTTTTTTGTAGGGTAAATTGTTTTAAATTAGGTACCTACCTGCCTGTCTTATACAATTGTGTAATATAATATTTCGTGATTTAATCCGCGAAAATAAAAATCTAATATTATTATCATAAGAGAACGGTCGCAGTGTCACGCGGGTAATACTTCAACAAAACTCGATTTTTACGATGACTCGGAATTTTTTTTGCGTGATAGCGGCCGGTACCGATAATATACAAATCGACTATACTTACTTATTTTTTTTAGCCCCGTTTTCTTTTATGCGACCGATCGTGGCGGAAAAGGGATGGGGGGGGGGATTTTTTTCTCTTCTTTTTCTTTATATCGCGCGGCAAACACTTATTATTATTATGCGAATGTTCGATTGCAGCACTTTCGGAAGGACGGACGGAAATATACATATATAAATATTATATATACGATAAATTACAATAATAATAAGAAGAAGGCCACGTCACCCTTACCGCAGAGGGGTCGCGTGAATAAAACGCGTACATTACAATATTTAGGGCCGTACTATTATTGCGTATTATATACGAGCTCCAGTATAGCCTATATATTTATATTTAGCGAAAAATATACTATTATAACGTTTTTCATTTTTTTTTTTTTATATTCTTTAATAATCGTTCGTTCGGACGATTGCCCGTATAGTCGACCATCTCCACCGGCTGTGCCCGTTAACCACCCCCCTCCTTCTCTCCAATTTTGGCGGATGCGTCTCCCCGTCACGGGTCTTGCGTTCGGAAGTTTATACCGCCCGAAGGTAGGAATGCAGCAATAACGAGCGATATTATTATACACAGGGTGTTTATGTATAATGTACTACCACCAGCGTATAATAGATACACCTCCAGCAAATCAATCGAACCTTTATTGGCTATAATACTATAATTAAGTACACGAGGACTTTGTAGGAAATATCGAGGAATATTTACACGTATTTCTGAACCTGGTTTAGAATATACTTGGTATATATTACCAAAATTGGTATAGAATGTATTGGTTTGGCCAATAAAGGTTCGATTAATTCGCTGATAAAGTTTATTCGTTTTTGTAAATGTTATTAACCGGATAAGTTAGATGAGTCGAAAAGTAAAACGCGCCGTGATATTTTTCGTAAAATTCTCCTACAAAGAGACGCGCCATTTGATTGAACGAACTTCAACGTTCAAGAGGATTTGTGAGAGGAATTTGCGCGATATACTGTGGCATAATATGTATGCCATCTTTAAACTCACTCGAATTTCCTAAGAGGAAATACGTATCGAAAATAAATTCATCCCCCCCTAGGTATTGGACGTAGACAATAAATTTCACCGCCTCCTCCCGTCGGTAGTGAGCGGGCACGTTATTGGCGGTACGCTGTTCAGAAACACACTGTACATACGTGACGTCATCGTTTAGCGGCAATAATAATATTATGATGATATATTGTACAATAAATTTATACTTATACTCGTACACGTAATATATTACATAAGGTATTACCTAGGTGCCTACGACGACGACAAAAATATAGGTACGGGCGCCGTGCGGCGGGCACCTTCCCGCCTGCACGGGTGGCGCGGGACGAAAACTATTGCTTCGCGGTCACTCTGGCGACGTGGCGTATTCCGCGTCCAAGGCGGGTAGGTACCTGGGTATACGCGCCGTAATAATAATCATCATTATTTCGAAGCGGCGGCGACCCTCGGCCGTGTGCGTGATACCGCGCATTATTATTATTATTATTATTATTATCATCGTTATCGTTACGAAATATAACAAAATAACAAAGGTTACTGTGTAACGTGTAACATTATACCGCGCGCCCACACACCGCGGCGGCGTAAGGTTCGCCGGAATGGGTTTGTTTCTTTTTACGCGTCTTGTGCGCGTCGATCGGTTTACGCGACCGACGGCCGTCCGGGTCCCGCCCGACCGTCCGACGACGGATAGGTTAAAGGCCGGTACCCTGGTACTATCGGGGTTACCCGAGCGCGTCCCGAAATTACCCCTTTTCAATGTCTCGAGTGCGTCCGGAAAAAAGTATTACCCGAGCGCGTCCCAATGAGAAAAAAAAAAAAAGGTAATTTTTGCAACGTAGCGCCCGAATGCGTCACACTTCGTGTATAGAGTTACCCAGGGTGTACCACACGAAGAGGTGAACTGGCTTACACCCCAAAAATGTTTGTTTATTTTTATTATTTTGTGTTGCATTTGTATTAGTTTTATATTTTGCTTACACCCATTAATTCAGGGTAAGTATACTAATTTTATTATACTAAAGTTTTACTGAAAATGTATTATATTAAAGGCTCGCGTTTAAAAGTATAAATATTTAAACATGTGGGTGGTGTGTACAGAGAATTGCATTTGGAATGGAAACTTTCACGTGCATTAGTTTATCATACATAAAATGGGTACCTACAGGGCTACAGCTGCGGATAATATTTATCATACGACTGGACAAATTCGGACAATTTAATTTAATTTATCGATACGATTGCGGACGCACTCGGGTGGTTCTATATAATTTGTCGATAAGATTGCGGTCGCACTCGGGTGATTTAATATAATTTGTCGATAAAATTGCGGACACACTCGGGTTATGAAAAAGGTAAAAATGTTAAACGGGACGCACTCGGGATATCCCTGGTCCTATCGTTTCCCAGTGTCTGTGCGTCGTATTAGGAGCAGGTACTAAACGGAAAGGGAGTTCCTCAGTTCCACGGCATATGTAACTTTTGCACGATATTGGGGAATGGGAATCGGCGGCGGATCTGCGGTGGCAGACGATTTCCTAAGAATATTATTACATCTAAAGTCCTGCACTATGGAATACTATGCAATGAGAACCATCATTGGCCGATCTCAGTTTTCCGACTTTTCAGGAAGAACAAAAACATCACTGACCACGGTATCGTTAATTACAAAATGAATACTAGAACCTGTCAGGTTCAGGTGAAACTAGTGACGAGTGTCTCTAAAAAACGAATCAAACTTAATATTGAATTTATAATTTTTCCATAACAACGACGATAATAATTCCATCGTCACGCGTCAACATTAAGATCGACCGGGGACCACGGATGGATAGACCCATAGGAAGAAAGGTATTTTCCCTGTGGGTCCTTGTCTATGTTTATATCGGAGGCCCCCTCGGGTCTACACATTTTGTTTCGTATAATATTCACCAAATAGGAATATTTAAAACTATAAATTATTATTATTTAAGATTGATATTTTTAATAATATGATAACACGTCAATAATTTTCTTGCGGATTTTTAAAATGAAACTATATAAATATCAATAATAGTATTTTAAATTGTTATTGTTAAATGGAAGACCGAAATAGCTGACCGACCGCCGCACGTTCTATCCCGATACGGGCGATACGAATTATAAATTTGTCAGAAATGATTGGGTATTTAATATTTATTTTTAATACATTTATTATTATTGTAATTTTGTTATCCATGATCGTATCATTCGTATTACACAGTCGACTGTTTTCATTGTGCGCTTGTAATGTTGAAGCAATGTATCTTGTAATTAAAACTTGGTTTTACGATTTTTACGTTTGGGAATATTATTAAGTTAAATAAGAATATAAGATCGTGCATTTATGTAAATGATTTGTTTATTTATTTTTTTTTTTTTCATTTACTATCTATTTGTGATTTAAAATCTAAGAGTTAAAACAAGGTATCCAAGTGTATAGTGTATACCTAAACCTAGCCATAAACTATAGCAAGTAGCAACTACTAACTTGGTATTTTGGTTTTTGTTAATTATAATGAATACTAAACGCAAACATAAATCCAGTTCAAAAAAACGCCAAGAAAAAAATTGAGAATTATTGTTGCAATGTGGAAATAATAAAAACCAAATGAAATTAATTTTTTCAAAAGGTGAGTTCAATTTTTAAATAATTATGCTTCAGCACCTATGTTAATATTCTAATTTTGAATTGATAATAAATAATGTAGTTAGCAAGTAGTGAGGTAGACCTACAACTTTTGGTGTAAAATTATAAACATATTATAGACAGTGCCGTTTTTATAATTATAGGGGTTGATATTGGGAATATATCCGCTCCCTTTCCTTTGTTTTTTAAGAAAAGTTGTTTCTTACAACTCAATTATCCTGTGGGCTGTGAGTGACATTAACATTGATTAAATATATATATATATGTATACAATTATATTTAATCAATGACATTACAAAATAATAACACAATTAAAATAACCCAGTGAGCTGATTTTTTAAAACTAAAAGCTAAATTGTATTCTTATAATGTATTAATGGATCCATATTGATTAAGTTACTTAAAGTACATCATACACTGTAATAATATTAAAATTATTTTAAAAACTTAACATTTAACATTTTTAAAAGTATTCAATATTTATTACAAACATACAATTATTTTTTGGCAACTATGATTGCTATAATGCTATTAATTGTATAGGTACACCTAAAGTTTCCAATTCCAATACAGAACACTGTGTGGAACAAAGTAATGTTGAAGTCCCAATTGTAGAGTTAGGTAATTATTCATTTTATTATTCATTTTGATGGTTTTAAAAAAGTGTATTTAATATGTAAATGTATATTTAGTATTATTTTTTTTTAATGTTAATAATTGTAATTGATTTTACAGGTGAACCTGAAGTTTCCAATGCTGAACACTATATGGAACAAAGTATTGTTGATATTTCATTCAAAAAACTGGATTCAAATAATATTGCTATGTATTGGTTATTTCACCCATATCAACCAACAAATAAAATTTCATTTACAGCAGACAAAGCATATAAATGAAAGGATGGTAGTTATAGAAAATGGTTATATTACAGTATCAAAGATAAAGCTCTATTTTGTTACACATTTATCGCATATGAACGTGATTATGAAGTATTTATATGAGGTTTTAGTGATTGGAAACATGTATATGAACGTATTCAGAATCATGAGGACTCTGCAATTCATGGATATAATGTTGATGCTCATGTAATGAAAACAAAGTTTGCATCTGTTGATTCTCTATTAATGTATGCCAAAGTTCTTTAAGAAGAAAACAGGTTGAGAATACAAGACAGATAATGCATCAAATTGTAGATGTTATAAAATTGATAGGAAAACGGGGACTTAGCTATTACAATAGAAATAATGAAGCCGCTTGTACATTAAATGATACTTCTTTAGACCATGGCAATTTTTTGGAAATTATTATTCTTCTAAGTAAATATGATGAAGTTATAAAATGTTACTTAGATAAATTTATAAAAAAAGTACTAAGAGTCACAATGCAGGTTCTTCTCAAGGCGGTGGGGTTATTACACTATTGCCAATGACCACTATTAATTATATTATTGAAGCTATCTGTCAAAAAATCAAAGTTGTAATGTTTGAAGAAATTTTAAAGGCCGGTATGTATACCGTTCAACTCTATACAACTCAAGAGATATATCTGTAGTTGATCAATGTTCGGTTATTATTCGCTGTTAGTGGTACTACTATTCATGAAAGATTAGTCGGTATTGTCAAATGTACCTCTAGTAAAGGAATCAATGTGGTTGAATTAATTTTGAAAGTTTTCAATAGCTTGAACTTGGATCCCAAAAAGTGTGTTGGTAATTCTACTGACGGAGCAGCAAAAATGCAGAGGGAGTACCATGGATTTTCTGCTCAGCTGAGTAATGTGGCAAAAAAACAAATACATATATGGTGTTGCACTCATGTTTTAAACTTAGTTATTGGTGATGTAACTAATGAAATTCTTCAGTCTATTAATTTGTTTGGAATACTCAATGGATGTGCTGTTTTTATTAAAGAATCCCATAAGTGTATGGATGTGTGGACTAATAAAGAAAAGAACAAATGAATATGTTATATAGATGAGACTAGATGGTGGTGAAAACATAGTGCGTTATCTAAAGTGTTTGATTATTTCAAGAATTCAGAACCTGGTTTATTTATGGAACTTATAACTACATTAATTCAGATTAAAAATAACCTTTCTATTATAGCTGATGCTCGGTTTAAAACAATAGGTTTGATAGAAGGATTATGCAAGTATGAAATTGTTTTAACAGCTCAAATTTATTTGCGGATTTTTCTAAAAACTACTCCACTATTTAAGTATTTACAAGGTCATGGAGTAAATATAATTACATCTTATCAAATGGTTCAGGCAACACTTGAAGAGTTTAAACTTAATGCACGTGACTTCTCAAGTGTCAAGGAAGCAGCAGACAATTTTGTTGCATGGGCAAATAATAAATTAGAAGATGAAGACATACTACAGCTGGTGATAAGTACTGTGTGGTTTGTGTTTTTAATTTTTTAGTGAAGTATAATTTATACACCAACACTTATCCTGGTCTCTACAACTGCTACAAATTACTACTTACTCTGTCAGTCACTCAAGTAAGCTGTGAACGTGGATTTTCAAAATTAAAATATATAAAATCATATTTAAGGAGCACCTTATCACAAGACCTTTTGGAAAGTTTCATGCTCATTGAGAAAGAATTGGTGAACAGAATTGACTTGGACAAAATAATTGATCAAGTAGCTTCTAAAAGTAAATTATTACAAAAATTACTATTGTTTTAAAAATATTATAATAAAATTGTAAATGATAAACCAAAGTTGATTGATATGTGAAAATTTTTTATAAAAAAATTGTATTTCTGAGTAAAGTTGTTATATTGAATATGTAATGCGAGTGGTAAAAAAAATTTTTTGTTTGGGGCCCCTCAAAATATTTCCCTGTAACAAAAATACTATCTATCCACCCGTTACAGGGTCCTCAATAATATAGTATTTTTATTACTTTTACACAGTTCACACTTGTTTTACAATTGCAAAGGCGTATTTATATTAAAATTCAACATTTTCTTACTATTTAAAATACTTTGTTTAGATTCGTAGTGAAGCGAGGAAGGTTTTTATTAGGATGTGTGCAAATAACTTTTCAACCAAAAATGTTACTTCATTCAAAAACTTTATCAAGAACTATCTCGTACCATTGTTGATCTAATAGTTGGTTTATTGGGGACGATATTTTTTTTTGATTTTTCTTGAAGTTTTTATAAATCGGAAAAACTAGCAATTTTTGTTCATTTCCAGGTTACACGGGGGCAATAGAAATAGTGTGGAAAATAATTAGGACGTTGTCAGTGTTTTATTTAATTTCATTTTAGTTTTTTTTTTTTAATAATTGACGTATCTATTTCTCTATAACAAATAGTATAAACAATAAAATATCTCACGTAAGGAGCAGGATAACACATTACGGTATACTCTCTCTCGAAAAAAAATAACTAACGGGAATTCCACCGATAATAAACAAAGAGATATTAAAGGCCGTTTAAAACCCGGTGTATAGTGTACCGTAAGTGCGGGTTACTTTGCAAAACATTTCATGGCTTTTTATGCATAAGTATACACTGTCAGTTTAATAATAAATGTGAAATTTTAGAAATTTCACAGTCTTGTAGGCATGAATATTAATAACGGTTTTGCACAACTAAATTTTTTTTGAATTGGTGCAATGTTAATTATATGCGATAAGGTTAGTTTGCGCACAGATATCGAAAATACCTACCATTAATCGGTACGTTGAATAAACTTCCGGGCAATACAACTCGATTGCGGGCGTGCGTATTCAATCAAATGTAAAATAATGAATAAAATTCTGGTGTTTTTTCCTTAAATAGCGACAAGACTATATCGTCACTCTATCGCGTATTTTACGTCCGCGGCATAACCGTCTCGGCGCGTACGCCGGGACCACCGTAATAAGACGTTCTGTTTACGGTGTGTGTTATTGCGTTGTTACCGCGAGGTGTCGCGTAATTTTCCGCGCGTCGAGTACGTCGTCGGTGGCGCGCGCGATTTCTACGGCGGCGGCGTACAATAAACGCGGCGCAACCTCTCGCCCCGCCACAGCGTCCACGCGTGTACTATTATCGTCTGACGACCGCCGTCGGCCGGTCGCACGTTTCGCCCGCGCAATCCGAACGACGCCCGGCCGCCACTTCGACGCGTCCGTAGACACCGTTGCTCGGTGTCGTTGTTTACTCACCGCTCATTTGCCCGTACCGCCGGCGGTTCCGGCACCACGGATACGTTCGAATAGCGTACGATTGTTATCAATTTTCCGACCGGCGTAGTTGTACTCGACGCGCGCTACCAACGTTTTAGTACCGGTATTAACCATTAAATTATTATTTTACCGTCAACGGTGCGCGAACGAACCGAAGTGTCACGATTACCGCGGTAACCGGACACCACGTGACCGCTGCAACCGCGAGCGACGGTATAGATTCATAGTCGTTATTGTTTTTACTCGAAATAGTAGTTTTGCCGTCGCCGTTGCCGCCGATGTTTTTGAATTTATTTATGCTTTTTAACGTGCTTTTTTATGCTTTTACGTAATATTATCGGTCATTACAGTGATATTTAGTTTACGCGGGATATTCACGAGTGTCCGTCCACGTGTTTGCGCGCAGCGTTTCCGTAAGCATGCGATTCGATAAAGCCCTCCACAGTCGTCGTCGCCACTGTAAGTATCACGAATTTATGATAATAATAATATAATAATATATATATATAGGAAGTGCCTACGTCACACTATACCTATACTATCTGTCTAAGTATTATTACGACAGTACGTGTTTAACGACGACTGCCACTGTCATCGTCGTCGTCCCCTGAGTGACGACGGGTAAGTGCGGCCATAGGCGAGTGGTGTTACGCGAAAAAACGCGATAATGGGTTTTTACGGTATTTTCCCGAGTTTCTCGTATTGTATTATTGTTCGTACGGAACGAAATTCGATTTTAGCGATAAAATTCTCGCAGACTTCCCGCGCATAGGTGCAAATAGCTCGAACATTTTTTTTGAGAAGGGGGTTAAGCACAATGTATGCATACTTAGCACTTATACCCGACGAGGACTTGATTTGAGACGGACTATTCCTTCCAGACTCTCCCTCCCCCCTCTATTTCGCCAACTGAGAAGCGTAGCAGGTATATAGTGTTTATGCTAGCCGGTTTTTAAATATTTTAAGGAGACACTACAACAATTACTGGTTCTTCCGACGTTTATCGAAATAAGTAATAATGTATTATTTTATTCGCGAATGTTTTACTAATGTTTTACTAAAATCCGTGATTCGCGACGCTTACACAACATCGCATTTTACAATTGAAACACTGGGCCCAAGGGCCAAATTCTAGTCTCTACTGTTTTACAGCAGAAACAAAAAACATTGCGTGGCCATTTTTCATTTCAACAAATATAAATTGTTTTTATTTTTCATATTGTTTCCGTACGAAATATGGGACTTTTCCACATCAATGGAATCCAATTTTTTCCCGTGGTTTTCAAAAACATGTATAGATGAGTCCTTTTTCTCAATATTTGTTCAATTATTTTTAATGCTTTTCAACAAATCTTTGTGAAAGCCACGATTATCTCAAGTGTCTGTCCTATTCCGCATGTCTACCCGCATTCACTGTTTCCGGCTTATAACGAATTTGCGTCCTGTAGGATATATTTTGCGCTGTTAGTTTTAATATCAGTGTGAATTATTATGCCCTATCATCAAACAAGAACGGTAAGAACATTATCTCTATTTGTACGTCGGTTTTTCGTGATACCTTAATTTTTTACCGACATATGAGTATGCGAAATGTCACATTTAAAAATGCTCACATTTTGCTTTAAAAATAAAGTATCGAAAAAATCATTAAACAAAATTGGTCTGGCTGAACGCAAATTTGGTATATCATCGAGCGTTTGTAAGACGATGAAAACGCACGCGATTATATTATTATAACGTTTTCTTAAACTACCCGTTTAGTTTACTTTTTGATAAAAATATTATCGTATTCGAAACGCGTGTAATGTGCGTGAAACGCTTTTAATTTTGTGCGACATTGATTTTCGTTCGTTTTTAACGCACGCACTCAAACATGTTTTTTTTTTTAATAACATCCAGAGAACGAGTTCGTATGACGGTGTTGGTCCATCATTATATTATTATGTAGGAGTCAAGTGGAAAATGCCGTGTGTAGTTGTCCGCGCACACCGCGTCTGCAGGGAAATTGCTAATTGGATTTCGATCGAATTAAAGGACTATTTTACCCTAAAGTCAATAATTATTATTATATGTATTGTCTAGATTTACATTAATCGCATATTCGTACACAAGAGCACGTAGTCTACAGTGATGTATCGGGGGAAGAGGGGAAGGGGCACGGGCCCCTCCATATTGATCGTATTTAAAAAAGAATAAACATTTTGTATTTTAGAAGGTATGTACACGAAAATATAAAAAATATAATGTATATTATATCTATAAATTATATATTATATTAGATTAAAAAATTAATTTTCTCGCTTCGCTCAGAATTTATAACTTATCCAGGAATATTATATAATACCCGTATTTATAGAAACACGCGGTGCATATATTATAACATGACGGCGATATAATCATTATAATAATATGTATGTACTCAAAACGTCATGTTTTAAATATCAAACGTAAAATATAAATGAATATTACAAAAGCAATTATTTTAGATATTGAGTGTTGTAGCGAAGATGATTTTTACTAAGAAAATAAGTTTTTTCCTACTAAAATATTTTTTCGGTTAGTGAAAATTCTCCGATTTTTTAACATAGTATAGGCACCACATAAGTCCATAAGCGACGAAATATTTTTGCGAAACACATTTTTCAAAATAAATAACTTTTACTTTATAACCATTTTCAAATTTATTTATTCCCCCCTCCCCTTTTGAAAATTCTGGATATGCCACTGCATATGCTCTTGTATCGATTGTATATAAATATACACAAAGCAATATAATGAGTAGTAGTGGATTACTTTTTTTTTTTTGTAAAAACGAAAATTGGTTTAGATTTCGTTGATAAAATATTATATAGGTATTTTAAAAGTGCAGTCGGTGTTATTTACACGCTAACCGTGTTCTATTTATTACGTATCGCGGTAAACTTTCTTTATAAAATAGATCGCTTTGAATACGTTATTTAAAAACTTTTTCCTATTTACCTTATTTACTTATATAAGTACAGTAAATACTTAAAAGGTATGTTGTTTAAAACTGAATTTACTTTTGTTTTTTCAATTGATATTGAAGTTATATTTTCTCATTGACTGTATTAAAATAGTAAATATGTAAATTAACGAGAAACTATTACTTACTTATACTTTATATTGAAAAAAAAAATAGAATTATTATAGGGAAGTTACTATGAGACGTCATATTTTAAACTACCTGGATAATATAAGTTAATTTTTTTTTTTTAATAAAAAAGATAGTATCTTTAACCGAGTTAAACTGTCTACTCAAATACTTATTTTAATTCGTTCAACAAAATATAGTTAAAATATATAAAACAAGTATACTTACTCAACATTGGAGTTAAAATTACACTTATCGTAAATATAATCAGCAACGTATTTAACTTAAAATATGTGCCTTGGGGTAGTTTTATTTCAAGGTTCCATTTTAACTACATAAATAGATGTATACGCTATACTTACCATGTGCACTTCACAGTTATCATCACCTCACTGTCAGAATAATATTTTAATATATAAACGTTAAACGTTATATTTTGTTTAACCTAGTTAGTATAGTCTACTTCTAAATTTGTTATACATAGACAGGCACCATATTATTATACTCTCTCCAGGTACTCCTCTGTATATAAAATCCAGTGGGATCAGTTACCACCAAAAAAATAAACCTCTTCCTTTTCCATCAAAAGTGATATTGACTAATATTTCGGTTACTTTCAATAACTTTGGTCATTGTTATAATTTCTATTGGAAATTTACACACACAAATAATTTAATAGTTTATTTTAGAAATGATTTATTATTGCGTACAGATATAAATTGGATAACTCTATGGATCTTACCTTTCCATTTTTTCAACTACAACAGTGGCACACCTGTCAGCTGTATCAGATTTTTTTTTTCTACTGAAAATTGAGTTACAATAAAATTAATTAGTTAGTAAAATATTTAATACGTAACGACTTAACAAATAGGTAACATGGCGATTATAGTGTAATAATAGTTGAAATATTAAATATCATACAATAGCAAAGTACAACGTAATGAATTTTGTATAGTAAATGTATTTTTTTCCCTTATTTTTATTAAGTAAGAAATACAAATATAGACATTGAAAGCCATCACTACTCAATACACGTACTTACGAGCACTTATAATAATGGTGAACTAATTGTTTTGGTGGAAAATGAAGAGTTCCGTTTTGGTGGAAACTGGTGTTGGTAAAAAACGGCAAGGGACATCAACATAATATTGTACACTGCTGGTTTACACAGTTCAAAACTTGTGTGTTTGCGTCCTATTTATTTACTCAATTTTTCCCGAGACTCCAATTTTTTTTTTTATTATATTAAAATACACTTTAAATTTGACGGTGGTTGATATTTTATACTCTTATTTACTTTCATAAATATTAATACGTTTTTAAGTGAAATAAAAAAGTAATTGTAATTATATAAATGTATAGCGATACATGCTCATCCAGTTTCATGATTTTCATCGGCCCAAAATTATACAAAATTGATAAAATTGACATATATTTACCTAATGAAAAACAAGTATTATTTTGTACTGCTCACTGAAATTGTGCCTGTATATTATAATAATATAACGTATGTGTTTAATAGAATTATATTTTGTATTGTCACGTGATCAGGTAAATGATCATGTAGTTAAGTTTTTACTTTTTTTCTTAGACTTTTTACCATTTTCTTGAATTAATTTTTAAAACATAATTTTTTTCCAACTTTTGAAATGTTGGGATGATTCAAACAAAATTGTTCGTGATCCATAAAGATTGAGTAACGCTTATTGTTTACGGTTAATGTATAGCTTATGTTTCTATTGGATTTTAATAACTTTTAATTTTGTTTGCTTTACCGTTATCATATTATTATGTTATAATATATATTAATACTATTATGCTTTTCTCTGTTTCTAATAATTATCTTTTTAGGTAGTGATATGACATTATCGTGGTTCAGTGTTTTTAAATATTAACCTCGTAGGGTTACTACCTACTTATGTAGATATTATATACGTAGAATATAGATGTAAATTACATAATTTACGTTTATATAGTTTAAATAACTATACATAACAAATTATCTAAAAAACCGATAAAATTAATATGAAACCTTTTTTTAAATTAAAAATTTGTATACAGTTTAAACGTAGGAATATAGGTACAATCAGTGATAACTAAAATTATTTTTTTAAGGGGGAAGGAATGAGACTGATTTTTAAAAATATTTCAACAACTTTAATTTACATTTTATTTTATACAAATATATAAGTGATATATAATAATATAATATTATCATAAATTCATAAATACTGAAGGAGAAAAGGTCATAGGGGATATGTCATCCTCACCCCACCTCCGTTTGACCGTCTCTGAATACCACCTACCCTAATTTTGTTTACATCGCATCTTAGATTAATTAAACTCAGTTTAATCCGACATATCTATTATTTTATATATTAATTATTTTAATTTAATTACTGAAAAATAATTGAACCGTCAAAATCGCAATGAAGAACGTGCTCTAACTAACAATTTATGACTAACGAATTGTTATAATACAGTAATATTTTATCTTATTCCTAATTTCATTGTGTATTACCTAAATTTATTCTGTGAATATATTATTTATTAATGTAGGTTATATTAAAATGTTATATTCTTAATTTTTTAACTATGGTAGGTAATATATTTGTAAGATTTATACTTACAAATATTTTAAGTATCTATTCAAATGTATTTAAAATTATAAGAAAATAGAAAGTATAATAAATTAAACACTTTATTTTTTACCTAGTTATTATCTTTTTTATTATTCCTCAAATTAAGTATTGTACCTAATTTCTGGAAATCAAATTATAATTCCTTAATAAATTGTAAAATAATAATTAGCTAATTTTAAAGAAAAATATTGAATTTTTCGAGTTAATTTGAATAATACATTTATTGATTTTAGATACTATTAAAGTAATACATCTTCGATAAATAATTGTCGAAATATAATATTAGTAGGAGGTACCTTATTAATTATTTATTGCAATTGACCAATCCACGGTGATTTGTCCATCGAAGGGAAGGAGGGCAAGGCTCTTATAACCACATAAGTTGTTGATTTAAGGTCCAGACACGATAACCGATTTGCAGTTTGTTGCCATTCGTTTTCTAAAACAAACATGTCAATAAATAACAGTATAACATTTAACAACGACCACTGGTGATAATAGTGACAATAATGTTTGTTTGTAAACGGAATTAGTGCCTTTATTTAGTACTTTATTATGTGTCCACTTGACACCACTTTAAATATAACAAATTAATTTGATAATGACAATTCAGTATTCCTATATTACGAGTATACATATTATAATGGCGCAAATTTGAATAAGGACCACAAAATAAATACTAAGTTTAAAATTAATTTTTCGGGTTTTAATAAAAACACAACTTTATATATTATTATTATACAATATTACAATAATCAAAAATAACTATTGTAGTACATAAAATCTCGTTTGTACATAGAAAAATGGTATTATGTAGTCACAAATTTTTTTTTAGAGGCTTCCGTAGTTCAAATTTTATTGAATTGAATTGAATTATTGAAAATTGTATAAACGACGGATTTCGCAAACTATTTTCCTAATCTTTAAGAATTTTAATTTTTTGGATAAAAAAATATGGACAGTTGTATTTATTTTCTAGTTATGAATTGATTTTCTTTTCTTAAACGTTTTTAATCAAATTTTGCTCAGAATCGGTCTTCAATAGAAATGGTTTATTTTTTGAGTTTATATATAAATTAAGTTAACCTTTATAACTTAACTTCCCAACTTCTAATTCACAAGTTATAACATGACATATATATCCATGGTACAAAGTATGTGTCGTTCTTTTTAAAAATAATTAGAAATGCATTATTCAGAATTTAAAATTTGTACTTATTGTTTATTATTTATATTATAAAAATAATGATTAAATTAAACTTTTTTTTTAATACGATAGTAATTTTTTTTTTTGCAGAATACAATGAGTACCATCGATAAAACTGTTCATTCTGAAGAAAATATTATCAATGAACCGGCGCCAGCACCAACTACTACAAATCCAGTCGCTGAATGTGAAATGGATGCTTTGTTACTAGGAAGAATTGGGGTAAGTTCGTAGATTTCTTTTAGCATCTGTAGTTCAAAGAACTTATATTTGAAAAATTATTATAGAATTAAGAATATCAGTTTGTAATTCTAACATTAACCTTATAAATTATAAGGATAAGGTCATAGGTTATTAGATTAATACAGAGTAAAGAAGAAAAAAATGTATAGTGATTTTAAAAATATATATATTTTTTCTAATGGTACATACCTACATTTTTTATAGATTAGCATAAGACTTTATTGTTGTATCAATTGCTGTATAAAATACTTAATATTTTATAAATGTATAATTATAGTTTAGGAATACTTTGGTTCTTTTAGAGTTTGGAAAACTGCAGCGATCTGCTGTATGATTTATTAATAAAGGTAAGAAATTATGGCAACAGTATTGTTTTTTCTTTAAGAATATGCACATTTTTAAAACTTTATTTAACGAATATAACTCATTATTATACGTTCTTGGCAGTTGAACATTTAGATAATTAGATGTGTTTAAAATATATAAATACGTGTAAGTTTAAACAGTTTATTAAAAAAAAAAAAAAATATAGTATTTTTACCTATCAAAATATAATATTGACTTAAGAATACTTACATATTACAATTTTCACATAAATCTTCCGGTTTCTAAAATAAAAAACGTGTAGTCTAAAAATCAAATACCTATTCTTTCCACTTTATTATAACGTTTAGCATGTTATTCAATTTATATAATATGTATTATGTTGTCAACATAATAAAAAAATAAAAAAAAATGTTTATTTTTCAATGGCTAAGCTTGTAAAAATTATAGTTATATGCAACGGTTATGGGTTTTATATAGAAATATTACCTTGGGAAATTAAATGATTGCCTATAAAGAACTTTTACGAACATTTAATTATATCTTTGGATACACGAACGTGATTTACAACTCCCTATAGAAATTAAAACGAATTATTTTTATTATAAATTTATCATCATATTGGGCAACGGTTTTCAACCTGTGGTATACAGAAAGGTTGTAGGTGGTTCTTGAAGACATATTGTGCAAGTGAAAATAAAAGTCATTAATTATAATGTTGTTCATTAATTCATAAAAAATAATACAAATAATTACTATACATATTTAATTTTACTTTTGTGCATTAAATGTTCATTATTATGTATGTTTATTAGTTTAAAGTTTTATACATGTAAAATAACGTATACATTTTATTTTTTGATAAGTAAAAAAAAAAAAATTAACAAACACATTTCGCTTGATAGGTGAGCTACTATTATCGATAAGAAACTGGGAAGGTAAATAGGAAATTAAATGTATACCAGTGGTGTAATTCTAAAATAAGTCGGGTGTGCCTAGTTATGTAAAATAGATTCACACGTGTAAGTTAATTATAAATTTGATTACCTTTCTTCTTCAGGCGGCAAATTGATCTGTTGAATTTGATAAGGTGACCGTAGTAAATAAAAAGATTTTTAATATAACAACTGTTTCTTTTTTATTAATTTTTTAAATATAAAACACTGTTCTAGGTTCCCGTGCTTTTGTAAGAATCTCTGCGTAGTCTTTTACACTCGCTTGTGATCATCTGTCCAAAAGCAACGGGAACAATGCATACACTGTGGGTGATTAGAAGTGGCCGGCCTCCTTATAACTGGAGATCTATGTGTGTGTGCGTGTGTAAATGTGTTATCTTAATCTGGTTAATACTAACAACTTAATCTAATAATTAATGGCTACAAATTATTATAATTATTTTACAATATTGATTATATAATTTATTTTAATTATATATGATAGCTTAAGTATTATCTCCTTACGATGAGTAAATATCGCACTAATGTTATTTGATAAGAAAAAAGATTGGAATCGGATGTAAATGTTTAACTATCATTCCCGTTATTAATTGTTTGATTTATTTACATTACATAATATTTTATTTTACATAATGTATGATAGCTTAAATAGCATATCATTACACCAGTGTGAAAAGATTAATCATTGCTAATGAAAAACGATTCTGAGCGGAGTTTGGTTATACATTTTTTGAAAGGCCGAAATATTTACAACTTAAAAATATTAAATTTCGTAAATTTTTCGGTTTTTTCTATTTATTATGAAAACTCCTGAAACAAATCAAAAAAAGATACAATTTTATTAGGAAACCATTTTATTATCAATTATTTCGAATATTTCTACACATATTTTCACAAATAATATTGGATTGGCTTGAAATATACAATATGTTTATTTTGTATACATCAAAAAATAATAAATTATATTTTGTGTAGAAATTAAGTATAAAACAGTAGAAATAACTATAGAAGATTATAAATATATCTTGTCAAATATATATATATATATATATATATATGTCAAATGGTATTTTTATGCAATGGGTAATCTACAAAACTACTGAACCAATTGACGTGTGTTTTATTTGCAGTATGGTTCGAGTTGTTTAGAAGGTTTAAAGCTATTGAAATTTTCGATCTGACCAGTAGAAGTAGTTGACCTTACTTGCAGTTGTTCGGGCTGAATACAAAGTAATAATTTATAAGTGTTTTTAATTGCTTAGCAACCATTTAACTAATTCATATAAGTTTGAAAAGAAAACGAAAGGAAATGCATTTTTAAAAATTTAAGTGCATCAACGGTTAACTGCAGTGATAGTGACGGGGATTAAAACATGAAATCCGAGGGGAAAAAGTTTTTATTACACATTTATTTGGAACAGGCAAGACAGCTAGTATAAAATATAATAATACATTGCATTAAAATTATATTTGATTTTTGAATAACGCAGGGGCGGAGTCATAATTATAATTATGACAAGGGTCCAAATTGTCATGAAATCGGATTACCTCAGTCCTACCCAGTATGTTATGACGATTAAAAACAATTTTTACCCATTATTTTAATAATACTAATACTAAAATAAGATAATATCATACATCTTTAGGTTTTTTTCATATTTTATAATTTTTAATATTCGTGTATATTAAACATTACATAAGGGGAACGTACTAAAATCGATTAATATACTCGTAGTATTATTGTTACTGGAAATTATGACAGTTCCAATGATGACAAAGCCTAAAAATCCTAGGACATAATGATTAAGTTGACTTTTAATGACATTTCCGCAGAAGTGTATAGTGTCAGTAACGTATTTAACTTAAATTCAAAAGGCAATATATTCGTCCCAAACAATATTTGATGGCATAAATCATTTATAAATTGCATAAAAATAAAAAGTTAAATATCGGTTGTTATTGTTTTGCATGCTGATTGAAGGGTCCAGTGCAATAGTCGGTTATGTCCACTTATGATAATTTTTTAGGAAAGAAAAAATTGCTTTGACTTACCAGGTTTTTGCACTGAAATTTAAAAACCATGTAAGTCCAAAAAATAAATAAACACATAAATAAATATAATGCGTATATAATTATTTTATCATAAAGTGACATATATATTGTTGATAAAGCAACACTATTAACCGAACTCTGCTCAGAATTGTTTTTCGTTAGGAATAGTTAATCGTTACATACATAGATATATATTGAATTTCTCTACCTTCACAACTTCTCACTGACAACAGTGGCCCACCCACGTGCGAAATATGTCCGTCTCTTTTTTATTACCTTTTTTCCCGTCGAATGCTAATATCATTAATCAATAATTAGCTAATTTAAAATGAACTGAACGGTTCAACTACCTATATAATATGAATGAATTACCGCATTTTCTGGTGAATATATTTTTAATAAACGCGTTTGAGTACTATGGATGATATCTATATGGTTTAGTATTTAAACGTAATCGTATTAAATATCTATGTTTTTATATTATTTTTTACAAATCTACAATCGATATTACATGATAATATAATTATGAGTTATAGATGTTTCAATAGTTTTGTTTCTGACAATATTAATAATTTAATCGGTATACATTGTAGATATGTGTAAAAATATTTTTCAGACATTTTTTTTTTTTTAAATAGTAAACATAATATATTTAGTCTATGGTTGAAATATTTTTAATTTTTACAAAATCTCAAAACAAAATGTTTTGAATTTTGGTCGTAGTGAATAAACTATTTGTTTTATTACTATACATTGTTGTATTTTGCGAGTATGTATAATATTTTATTTGTATATAGTATAGTATCGGCAATTTTATAAATCTTTCCAATTTGAAAATGGAACATAATAAGAATAGTTTAAAGCAATTGTTTGTTTATAATTTCAATACAATTTTAGTAGAAAAAATATTACCCGTGTGCAGCAAAGTTTCATCACTAGAGTGGATTTTTGTTCCAGCCGACTCTTACCATCAAAATATAAATTATTATTTTTTAAAAACGTCTCTAAAGTAGTTATTATCGTCAGAGTTTTGTTAAATTTTAGTTTGTTGAGGTATTTAAAATCTAGTATTTTCTGTAAAATATGAAATTTGAGCTTAAAGATGGTTTCGGAAATGGTTGAATGTTGAAACCTCTATTAAAAGCAATTAAATAGATATTTGGGTTAATAAATTATTAAATGGGTGAATCGCTTGATTCAAAAATTATAAACTACAAGGAATTGTCTGTAATTATAAAATAAATTTGAAACTACGTTTTACGTAAAATTAATAAAAAATCTCAAATTTTGAGTGAGGTTATTATTCCTTTGATTGTGCCACTGTAAGTATCTATCTATACTTGAAATAATACGAAATTAATTAATATGCGTAATTATCCATGAGTTTGAATATTGATTAGTTATAATAATATTTGTATAATTCTGCAGCTCAGTTGTAAATATTTTTCTAAAGCGATAATTATTTATAATTGTATTAAAACGAAAGTCACTATTGTATGTTCCTTGGAAGTATTTTTGTATATTTATAAACAAAAACAAAATAAGGTAGGTATTTAATTTTTTTTAGTTTTTAATTTAACCGAGATTTTTTTTAAATATTTACTTCGATAAACAAATTAAATTAAAAATAAAAAGAAAAGAAATAAGACAAAAGTTTATGTATAATTTTTGCATTTTTTATCAATTGATGGCGTTGAATATGTATATATATATATACCTTGATAAATGTTTTGAATAACCATTATGTTTATTTGTTTCAAATTACGAAGGTTGAAATATTTGTTTGGAATTTGTTAATGTAATTTATACAATAATTAAAAACACTTTTGAGCAGTAGAGCTTTGCCACTAGTCGAATTTCTCTCCACATATTTTGTATAATAGAAATATTCTTAGAAAAATAATTAATAACAGAATAAAATATAATACAATACTGTACTACACTACAATTATACTACTTCCAAAAAAAATGGTAAAGACGAGAGTTGAAAGTCTTTACTCTGAAAAAGCACACTCTACAGTACTAATGTATATATAACATTCTATCCCCTAAGCTTTATTCGGGGTATAATAACTAAAAAAACAATTCCCTTTCGAAATAACATGCCGAAATATTTATTAAAATTTAACTCAAATTATATAAATACAAACCAATTATAATATAATCCAAATGCCAGAGGTGAGCTCATTTAGTTTAAAGGAGCTGCTAAAAGTGCACAAAAGTGGCGGGTAAATTTGATTGAAAATAATGTAGATAAAGACATCAATATTGTTTTATAAATAATAATTTTTATACAAATAAAAACAAATTTTTAATTTTTGTCTTTCACATATTATAGTTGAGTGCATATTAGGCATCTACTTTTAGAATACACTTAATTGGACGTTTTTTGCGAGAAACAGTAGTCAGTTTTAATTTTTCCACTTATTCATCAATTCTATTGAAAATTTTGCACCACATTTAAGGATGTTACTTCCAGATGATTATTTGTCAGATAATATATGTAACAAATCAATTGGTACATATTGTGATAAATATGATAAGTTCGTATAAGGAGCATTAAAAATGCATGATCGATTACAGTGGAAGATTTATTATATAAAGGTAATTAAAATTTATCAAATACCAAATTTAGTCTTATTATATAGGACAATATAGATAGGCACCTTATATAATACTTCAAATGATACCTATTTGTTTTAAATTCTGAGTGTAGCAGAAAACCCGTTAGTTTTACTAAGATGTGGGTTTTTCTGAAAAACATTTTTTCATGCCTTATGCTTACCTTAAAAGTTGCAGATTTTTCATCTAGTGATACTTTATTCGAAAATTGTTTTAGTTTTCCATACTTATGCTGCGAAGTATGACTGAATTTATTAGTATTATATGCTCAAACGGGGAGGAGTTATTACCTCATTTCATTCCCCCTCCCTTGGGTCCGCTTCTGATTGATAATTATTTTGAGAAAAGTGATGTTAGTGATATCCATATGTGCACAAAGTGATTTATAAATAGATATAAGAAGCACCTGTCTCATATACTTAAATTGAAGGGTCGGGTGCAACAAGTCCGTTTTTTTAAATCGTACAGAAAAAAATAAAAATGTTTTATAATTAATCGTATATGCATGTATATGTGGTCATTTTTTTGCTGTTATATTACTATAATTATACATTGGACATACTCGTATTTTACCCCAAAATGTGCAGCTTATTATTGTATTGATTATAAAATGCAGGTAATTAAAACGATTTCTGAAATTTATGAAATTTTCGGATTTATGCACTTGAACCTTCAATTATTTTCGTTCTTGCCTTCTGTGATAAGTTAACGAAATCTAACATAAAATAAATTTTTAGTAAAAATAAGTTACACT